GTTTTAGCTAAAATGTTACTATACAAACAATTGTAAAAATTTGCTTATTTTTAATTCATTTATTATGTAATAAATGTATATTTCTTTCTTATATTTCAAGCCAATGACAATTATGACGAATAAAAGGGATGGAGGCTAGAATAAAACATTATGCTTTAACTTTCACTTTGTACTCGATGGAAAGTGTCATAAAGCTTTATTCATCAGCAGCCACAATCAACGATGAAAAACAGAAGTAAAAACAAATTCTTCTTGATTATTCTTTCATCTGATATCCTTAAAATAGACAGGCTTCAGGGGTTAACATATTAATATCAAATTCAGATGGAAGATTAGAGAAAAAACAAATAAAAAAGACATTTTTTCTTCAAATGGTTAGATTTCTGGCCAAAAATTTTTAGATAAAATCCCTCCTGATTTATAGTCTATACTAGTACTCATGACCAAAAATATCCTGTTCTGAGTCTCACAATTGTTCAAATGCATGGATTCTCATTATTGACAGGACTTTATCATTACCAGTAATTTTGAGACACCTGTAACTAAGTAAGTAGTTGTAAAAAGTGTAACATAAACTGATAAAGCAGTGTTTTAAAAAGATAAAACCAAATCCTGTCATCATGCTTATTGATGTTTTACTGTGGATTCATTTTTATTCGTGGTATACCAATTTTCGTTGGTTTCGTGGGTTACAGCGAACCACGAATTTAAGAATTCAACAAAATAATCCCGAGAAATGTGTATGGAGTCAGATGTTTATTTCCGGTTATGTTATGTAGTTCTAGTATAGTGTTGACTAGCGATAAACATTGTAACATAACGCATGTTTTTATTGGAAGAAGATAAAAGTATTTTGATTAAATCAATAATAAATATATAGAATATCAGTGATAATTTACTTTTTAAAATGGATTCAAACTGTTCATGGAAAATAACTGCAAGTTGTTAATTATCGTGTCATAGTTTGGTTTACTGGTGATTAAAAATCAATAGGATTAAGTACGAGGTAGGGATATTGCTCGCAGGTATTTATGACAAGAACATTTATTTTCACACCCTTTACTTAAATAAAATGCTTCGCTGAGCGCAGCCTGATACGACCGCAGAGGTCAAATCCTGAACAGTTGGGACAAATTTGGACACAATATTCAAGCCTGATCCTGTCTGAATTTGGATTGTGATCAAATTTTTTACATAATATAGGTTTCTGACCTATATAAAATAAAAATTTTGAAAAAAAATATGAATCCCTTAAAAAATTGGGAAAAAAATCCCCCCCCTCCCCAAACTTTTTGAAACCCCCCTTGGAGCAATCACCCCAAAACTCAATCCCAGCCTTTCCTTTGTTGTATGGAACCTTGTAGTACAATTTCAGAGAGATCCATACATTTGAACACAAGTTATTGTCTGGAAACTAAAAAAATGCTTGTTTTTGGCCCTCTTTTGGCCACTAATTCCTACATGTTTGGGTCAATTAACCCCAAACTCAATCCCAGCCTTCCCTTTATTATTTGGAACCTTGTGGTACAATGTCAGAGAGATCCATACACTTACACACAAGTTATTGTCTGGAAACTAGAAAAATGCTGGATTTTTGCCCCTTTTTGGCCCTTAATTCCTAAACTGTTGGCCCCATAACCCCTAAAATGAATCCCAACCTTCTACTTGTGGTATTAAACATTGTCAAACCATTTCAGAGCAATCGAAATACTTATACACAAGTTAATATCCTGAAACTAGAAAAATGCTTGTTTTGGGCCCCTTTAATTTTTTTGGGCCCCTAATTCTTGAAACAGTTGGAACCATCATCCCCAAAATCAAGACCAACCTTCCTTAATTGGTATTGAACCTTCTTAACAAATTTCAAAGAGATCCATTCACTTAAACTTAAGTTATTGTCTGGAAACCAATGTGTTTTCGGATGACGACGCAGACAACGACATCATACCATTATACGATCCCAAAAAAATTTTTGCGGTCGTATAAAGATGTTTTGATAAACTTTTAATAAGATAAATCCAGTAGGACACAAATTGCTCTGGTAAGAAAATTCCGATAAATTGCCGTTGAAGCATATTTCTTTACTTAATTCTGGACAAAACGACATTTTTTTGTAAAACAATTTTAAAGGGTGAATGAAGAAAACAAATTGCATTTCAAATAATATTTTGTTTATTCTGAACAAAAACGACATCTGTTTTCGAAATAAAATTTTACTCATAACCGGAAGATGAGTTAATGGTATCATTAATGTATGGCTTGGGTTCTAGCTTGGGATACAAACTTCGTAAGCAGTGTATTTCTTACCGTTGACCAGTTTCTAATATGACTATAATCATATCGTGATTAGGGAAATAAGCTTTCAATCAGTTGGTCATCATAGAGTTTTGAATGCCTTATAAAATTCCGCCAAGAATTTATAAATTGTAAAACAAACAAATAATTAGTTGTCTCTGTCCACGATTGTAATCGAAGTTTTCAATGAACACTTTAACCTAGAATGACCAAGCCAAGATTTTGACAATTCAAAACTTTTTCAATGAATTCTATTTTTTGTTTTATTATTGATCAAACAGAAATCCACAACTTACGTATCTGAATTTTTTTTTTAAATTAGCAATTACGTATACCACAAAACATCTTTTTTTTCTATACACACGAAAATAAATGAATCCACAGTATAATTAGGTCCCAGCATAACAAGCATATCGTTAAGATTCACCCTGCTGAGACAAAACATTCTCGTAGCTATTGAAGCATTACAGCATCTAGGGCGAGCTTATCATGACATTTTTTAGCATGGCATGAAATCCACTTCAACTGAACAACTGTTAAAGTTCATGTCATCTGTTATTGTTGAATCCATTTAGCTCGCAATTTTCCTCCGTATTGAAGAAAATAGTTCAGCTACATAGATTTCAATTATAAAAAAAAAAATCATAAAGTTTTGCACTACCACTATAGGTTTGCAAATATTCTGTCAATTTTCAAGGTTCTGGGTTGAAAACTGTAGGAGGAGTTGATTACACTTCTTTTGTAAAAACGACTAAGCTTCAGTCTGGAGATTGGGAAACAGTTCATAAAACAATTCCAGTAAACAGATGCACAACTTCAATATGTTTGGAAACTATCTTTGAAGGTTGAAGTTGAAACCTGTGGGAGGACCTGATTACACAAAAAAGGTACAAACTTTTGTAAATTTTGCTGAAAAATAACCTTGATAAATCCTAACAATTCCTCTAATCACTTACATGTACATTTGTTTACATTGTTGTCAGTGTGTTACATACTGTAAGGGTAATTAACAATGATAATTTATATTGTAATTGATTAGCTTCTTCAATTTATCAACTTCATTACCATTAAACAGGAAAAAATATGCACACAAAATATAAAATTCCTAATTACCTGTCGCGTAAAAGAACAAAAACAGAACCAGTATAGTGAAACTTACAAACTGGTGACTAAAAATTGACTGTTTTTCTGTGGAAGAAATTGTTTTACATCATAGAATTAAACACATTTTTTCCCCGATTTATTGATGTGTAAACTGGGCTAATACACTCACAAACTTAACATTGTAGTCTTTTGGTTTAAACCTTATAATTCTCAAAAAAAGCAACATTTCTAACTATTTCCTTAATAGTAATAAAACCACTTATTCAATGCCCTATGTCTTTTTATATCAAATTCTGTTATTTCAACCATTTATAGATACATTTTTTATTTAATCTCAAGTTAAAATAAGTGAGTCATTTCATGTCAAAACTTTTATCTTACCTTGCCTTGTGTTGAAATATTAAACATACCTTTAATTGCAGAAGTTTGGTAGTACAAAAACAGGTACTTCTAATCTGAGCAGCAGGGAAAATATGCCCTCCTATTTAAATTTCATATATTTTTTACAGAAGAAATTTTCAAAAACGGTTCTAAAGTAAACAAGGCCTTGAGTTTTCATTTGATACCAAAATTACCCAAACGTTTTACTAAGTGACTATGCATAGGAACTATTTTGTTAAAATTATGTACTACTTTCTTTTATGTTCTTTCTGACCAGGCCCAAATTAGTGATTCTATACCGTAAATTCCATCTTTTGTGGAACCACAGCATTAAATTAATGTGTATTACATATGAATATATCAGAGCGTAATCAACAGTGTCTACATAGGTTACAAAAGTAGTTTTGGCCACATGGTCTGTTGAAAAGAAATTCTAACAGACCAATCGCATCCAAGAAGATGCAGCACTATGAACACCTGACTTACATATTCTTATCCATCCATTACCAATAAAATATCTAATATGTAGAAATATGTGTTTTAAATGTTTTTCTTGAACTTAATTGTTTACTCCAAATACCATAAATTACTTACCATGACAAAATAATTAGAAAACTTATTATGCACTAAAACATGTCACATTAACAATGTAAACAAATATGACTGGAAGATTTTTCTTCATTTTTTTTCAATCTTCAAGGAATTTGGCACTACAAATGTACATGTATAAGGTTACATGACCACCAAGCCCAAAATGTAAAACTTGTAGTTGTGTGCAATAAATTCAATCAGATTGACATTTGAAATGTTCAACATTTATAAAATGTCACAATTATCCTTTTTCTGATGGGCTATTGGGCATGGCTTAATTCATTCAAGTACTAGACTAAACACCATGGAAATCTGTTGTTCTTCATGTTCTTAGTAACTACTAACAATATTAAACCAACTATCAATGAAGGCACAAAATAGGTCATATCTTAAAATGCCACTTAGTGATATTTGTCCATTATTTCTATAAAGTGAGTAGAAAACCTACAGAAAATGTGAATGATTACCGAATTGGTCTATATTATACACTCTTTTTTTACCCACAACATATATGGTTGGTAGAGGGAATGTGTATTATACACAACGGCGTACTATAAACAACCAAATACGGTACTTTAAATTTACTTGGGTAGTCTTTCAGAATTGCTGAAATATAAATGCCTATTTACCTGTTACATCTTCGGAGTCTTCCTGAAAAGATGAATCTCTGGTATCTTCTCTCTGTTCTTGTTCCAATATTGTCTTGGAATCCTGATAAAAATTTTAAATATTCAATGACCAAGGCTCAAGTAGATTTTGTTTATTCAAATTGTCCATCAGACTAAACATGGTCATGGAGTGTTGAGATGAATTTCAATACTGGTTATATATTCATGCCCTTTGTCATTAATCAACAAACAATCAATCAAATACAATACACACAAGTTGATTGTTGAAATAATTCTTGGTAGTGTAGAGTGAATCTAATTGAAATAGAGTGAATGTTGAGGATGGATAACTGTTTAACATCCTGTTGCAAATTAAATGCATAATCAGGATGAGAACAAGATCATACAGTATGATGAATATGAACCCTGCATTGTACTAGACTGAGACTAAGAGTCCAATTTTTTTACATGCTAGTTTACATGGAAGACATGATACCCTACATGTACCTGGAAACATCAGTTTGACTCCTAGCTGACAAGTCTTTGGTCTTGGTTTAAAGTGCTAAATGCTTAAATGTAGTGTAGAAGCATCAAATAACAACTTTAAAGCTCTTCAGACTAGTACAATACCACAAGACTATCCAGGCAGTCAAAATCAAAGAAGAATGTGTCCATTGGACACGGATCCCCCTGCTTGTAAATATACAAGAGTCAATGTACTAATTCAAACCTATTGACATTTTTTTTCTCTCTGAACCTTAATGCAGAATCGTCAAATTCAGTTATTTTTCAATTTATAAATGGTCATTACTTGAGAAGAGTGTAAGTGATGCCACCCAAATTTCGAACTGAATCTATGTTTGGTGGTAATAACTACTGTCTCAGGTAAGGGTGAAGGTTGGCGCCTATTAAAACATTTAAACCTGCTGCATTTTTATGCACCTGTCCTAAGTCAGGAGCCTGTTGTTTAGTGGTTGTTGTTTGTTGGTGTGGTTCATAAGTGTTTCTCGGTTCTTGTTTTTTATATAAATTAGACCGTAGGTTTTCCTGTTTGAATTGTTTTATACTAGTCATTTTGGGGCACTTTATAGTTTGCTGTTCGGTGTGAATCAAGGCTCCATGTTGAAAGCTGTACTTCGACCTATAATTGTTAACTTTTATACATTGTGACTTGGATGGAGAGTTGTCTCATTGGCACTCATACCACATCTTATTTATATTGTGTATGAAATTCACAACATATGGTTGAGGCAAAGTAAAGTTAGGGTGTGGAAACAACAAATTCAGCAATTTTCCCATTAATAAAGGGACATAACTCAAGAACATTTGCTTGAGGCAAACTAATGAAAAGAGAACAGAATCCAATTTCAGGACAGACACATGGACCTTAATGCCCCCTTCATCTAGCAGCTGGGGCATAGAAAAGAATAAGTAAACATCATTAATCTAATAGAGTGAATGGTAAATATTCTGATGAAAAAAATAAAATGCTCCGCTGGGCACAGCTTGATACGACCGCAGAAGTCGAACCCTGAACAGTTGGGGCAAGTATGGACACAACATTCAAGCTTGATACAGCACTGAATTTCGATTGTGATTAAATATTTGACACAGCATAGGTTTCTGACACAGAATGAATGTGGTCTAAGAACTTAAATTTTTTTAATTCACCTATTCAAACCATATCATTATTATTTGCTTTTATATATAAATCAGAAATAACCAATTTAAAATGGAAAATTTTAAAGAAAGAAAAGGGGGAAAAAAATCCCCCCCCCAAATTTTTGAACCTCCTTATGATTCATCACCCCCAAACTCAATCCCAGCCTTCCCTTTGTGGTATAGTAACTTGCAGTACAATTTCAGAGAGATCCATACACTTGAACACAAGTTATCGTCTGGAAACTAGAAAAATGCTTGTTTTTTTGCCCCTTTTTGGCCCCAAATTCCTAAACGTTTAGGGCAATTACCCCCAAACTCAAACCCAGCTTTCCCTTTGTGATATGGAACCTTGTAGTACAATTTCATAAAGATCCATACACTTACACACAAGTTATTGTCCTGAAACTAGAAAAATGATTGTTTTTTGCCCCTTTTTTGACCCCTAATTCCTAAAATTTTGAGGCAATTACCCCCAAAATCAATTCCAGCCTTCCCTTTGTGGTGTGGTACCTTGCAGTACAATTTCAGAGAGATCCATACACTTGAACACAAGTTATTGTCTGGAAACTAGAAAAATGCTTATTTTTGGCCCCTTATTCCTAAACGTTTTGGGCAATTACCCCCAAACTCAAACCCAGCTTTCCCTTTGTGATATAAATGGAACCTTGTAGTACAATTTCAGAAAGATCCTTACACTTACACACTAGTTATTGTCATGAAACTAGAAAAATGCTTGTTTTTTGCCTTTTTTTGGCCCCTAATTCCTAAAATTTTGAGGCAATTACCCCCAAAATCAATCCCAGCATTCCCTTTGTGAAATGGAACATTGTGGTACAATGTCAGAGAGATCCATACACTAACACACAAGTTATGTCTGGAAGTTACAAAAATGCTTATTTTTGGCCCCTAATTCCTTAACAGTTGGTACCATAACCCCCAAAATCAATCCCAACCTTCCTTTTGTGGTATTGAACCTTATGGTAAAATTTTAAAGAGATCCATTCACTTTAACTAAAGTTAGAGTGTGAAAACCAATGTCTTCGGACGACGACGACGCCAACGTCATACCAATATATGAATTTTGCGGTCGTATAAAAATAAGCAGTTACAACAGAAATGTGAGTTAAAATTTATTCAATGAAGAAGTCCTCTTTAAATATAAAGGTTAGAGCTTAAAATTACATTTGTAGGGAACTTTTAACACATGTGCAGTTATCTTTTTTAATTTGACCTTTATCAACTTTATTATTCCTTTATATAGTTTTAATTTCAACGGTAATCAATGGTTTAGCACAGATAGTCATACAGAAAACCTTTTAACACTTTACTCCATTTAGGACATCAAACTAGTTAACCTTTTGAACTTTCAAGTGTTTGTCAAGGGTTAAGTGCCCCTTTTCAACCTATGAACCAAGCTGAATTCAGAGTGCTCCAAAATTAAAGCTATCATATATTGAAAATTGTAAAACAACTTTGTCATATTGTACATGATGCTCAAAACTTTGTATGACTATTAAATACTGCAAGGCATTTACTATGCTTTGGCATTTCAGATTACAAAAAATACAAAAAAGGGACAAAAACTTAAATATCTAAATTGTACAAAATTCACCCATTTAAACTAATCAGAATTTTCAGAGTTTTACAATGTTTAGATTTAAACATTTGCGAATTCTATGTAGAGAATTTCTACCATAATTAACCCCTGTAGTAAAGGTTTTCAAAAAGTAATGCATATTATTAACATTTTGACTTTGAATTTGATCCAGTGTATACACATTTGAATGGAAGTTTGTGGGTTTTGATTTTGACCCCTAGGGTTTCTGAACTGAAAACGTTGATGCAACACCTATTGAGGATTGGGGAACATAGAAATATTATTTTTGTAAATGATATTAAAAAAGGATCAGATCGGGTATTAGAATACATGTATGATGTGATACCTTTTTATGTATAGCACACATACACATGTGCAGCATTTGTTTATTCACTTGACATACATGTACAGCTGTCTTGGTGCATGCATCATTTATATTACATTGTATATCTAAACTTTTTGATTTAAATCTATTTTGAGAATTTGGAGTTGATGGTTAATTTTCATAGTTTCTGTTTAAGTTACTCATTACTTTTTTAGATTAGGAAAAATTAAGAACTTGACAGTTTGTATGGAAAAGTCTATTGTTGAAGACTGTATATGAATGTTGTCTTCTAGATGTCTTTTGGTTACTGTAGATTCATAACTATTCGTGGGCTACAAATTTTCTTTAATTTTGTGGAATTATGGTTAACCACAAATTTAAATATTCAACAAAGTACAAATTTCCTATATGTTTTGTATGCAGATTTTGGCAAAATTGTAGAATCAAATTTCCATGAAACTATAATTTTTCTTCAATCCATAAAAATTAGTATCCACGAAAATAAATGAATCCACAGTATTATTTGTGTTGCTATCTCATTGACCTGTGACCCACATCTCCTTTTATTCGCATGATTATGTATGTTCATGAATGTATGAACATACAGAATGAGAGACATATCTTTAAAATACCTCATCCCCACTGTAATCATCCTCTCTGATTTCTAAGGTATCTGCCTGTGATGTTGTCCAGTTAAATTTCCTTAGCTCATAAGGCACGCCCATTCTTTCGTATTCAGAATTCTGGTGATTCAAACTGTGAGCACAAACTTTACACACCCCTACAGTATAACCATCCTCAATTGTTGGAGCTGTATTGGATGGCTTGATATCTTTGAGAAAAGGATATATTTTACAACTGAGTAGTTGTATGTTCTTATGTTTCATCCACTTTGAACATAAACAACAAACAAAATCTGGCAATGTGTATTTCCTAAGCCATCTGTTTGAATCTCCTGTTTTGTTTTCCTCATAGTCATTCCATTGTTGAATTAAGATATGAAAGCAAACATCACAGGAAATAACAGTTCCATCTTCCGTCATTGGTTCACCTTTTGGTGCTGGTTCCCTATTAGCTAAAAAGGGAAAAAATGGAACAGTTTGATTGTTCAATGTTTTAGCTTCATGTCTTGTAGGATATGAGCACAATACATGGGCTTTGGATAAGCGACATTTTTCTCCACACAAAAAACATATTTTTTTGGGGATCGCTGTTGCCTGCTGCAGCGGATGAGGTACTGTTTTCGCAATTGATTCTATTGCTGGACTTTTGTTTGCCCTTAATGGAGACATAGATTTTGGTATAAGGAGTTCATCTTGTGCAGAAGAACCAGATGAAACAATTGCTAACAATCCTTGAGATGCCAACAAGGTGTTTGTGTCTTCAGAATTGTTTTCAGAGATCTGAATATTTAATGGTTTATTCAAATCTGGTTTTGGTGATTTTGTCTCTCTTCCAGTAGTAATTTTCTGCACGGGTTCTTCCTTCATTTGCTTCACTCTGAAAGAACTGTCAAGCAAATCAGTTTTTGTTCCAAGAAAGGATAATGTATATTGTCTCTGTGCAAGTGGTATTCTTTCCATTTCTTGAAGTTGCCACTGCTTGTACAAAGCTTCATAACAATTTCTACAAGCTAAAACAGAACCATCTGATCGCAGGGGCTCAGCACCTGCAGGCCTACTCAATTCTCTGACAAATGGGAAAAATAAAGTTCCCATTGATGGTTCATTTGAGGGAGCAGTGAAAAGGGATCTGATCAAGTCTGCTGCATAAATATTTCCACAAATGTAACAAACATGTTCAAGCTTCTCTGGAGAAAGATCTTCTTGTTGCAGTTGCATTCCAGGTAGTGTCGCTGCACTTGCTCTCAACATTTTAAGTTCTTGATTTTCATTTACTTTATAGTTTCTGTGCTGCGCAGGTATTCCTGACATTTCATATGCTTGCCACTGTTGAAACAATGAATTTTTACAAGGCACACAAACTCTTGCTTGTCCTAATTCATTCAAAGGCACTGATCCTGGGATACAAGGTAGGCTTTGTATAACAGGGAAATATGGTTCACTGTTAGACCGTCTAACAGAATTCACTACTTTACATTCAAATGAATTTGTCTGATGTGCACATAAGTAACAAAGATAAGAAGGGTTTTTATTGAAGTCTTTTAAGTTCTCATTTTTCTTAGTTACAGATAAATCCAGAGCTCCATCACTTGGAACAATCTGACCTTGGGAGGACATTTGATTTCTGTTTGTGGAATTATACAAAGGCACATTCATAGTAGGTTGTATACTGGGGGTAGGTTTTTGTTGTGGAGTTGAGGTACTGTGTCTCTTTTCTTTTGGAACTTCTGCAGATCTTCTATCATGTCTTACTGTAGATGACACCTCCCTCATTCCACTTTCTCTTCCAATATCTATAGGAGACGTTCTTCCATCAAAGGCACCTGGCTGGTACTGTAAACCCATTATCTGAGCTATATATTCACCCTGCAACCTCATTTCTGCACCAGTAAAATGGCCATTGTCTGCTCTTTTCAACCAATATAATCTTTTAATTGCAGGTGTATGTGAACGTTCATATGCTTCCCATTGTTGACATAAGAAAGCAGTACAAACCCTGCAACTGTCAACAATCCCATCTTTGCTTGGATGGCTTGAACCTTTAGGAGGATCATGGTGTTCGAGGAATGGAAAATATGGTTCATTGTCGCAAGGTTTTATACGAAGTTTATTCTCTGCACCTCTACTCCCACATACAAAGCATATGTTTCTGGTCATTTTTATTAAGATGTGGTCAGCTGACAGTCGAAAAACTATGTACCAATGTATTGTTCATAACTTTTGTAAAAGTTGTCACTTTCTGTAGCGATACATGTTCGTGTTTTTACAGATACTATAACGGGACAATAGCTTTAAACTTGTATTCTGTTTGTGTTTTAATTATGTAATTGTTATTCATAAAGCTTAAAATTATTGTGCATTCTTGTTTGAATTGTTTTTGTGAACAAAGGCAATCTGCTGGAGGGAACTGCAAACATTTTAGCCGCCATTGTCAAAACATCTGTCTTACCCAGAATTCCGTCGTAATGGGTGTAACTGAAAACCTAACCATCACGGTCTATAACTTACAGCCGCAGTGGAAAGGATTTAGGTTTTTAAAGTTATAACACTTTTTACCTTTGACTAAGCCAACTATTTCATAGGGTTTACCGTTAAAAGATAGCACACAGTGCAAGATGAACACAGTAGTAGTTTACTTCTCTGTAGTGTAACGATACCCCGCATAATTTAACAAACTGCCTAAACTGAATGATACTTTATTTTTTTTTAACTTGATGGGCATTGATGATGTTGATAAGAATAAGTACATCTTTACAGTTTCGTGATTAAAGTGGTTGACATGGTTGACACGGGTGCACGGAGAAACGGGAAATTTAATTTTGTTTGGATTTCTCTGTGTTTTTTCCCCGGCAAGTTCAAATTCACAAAGCATGACCAGCAATGAAAAAAGAACAACTTCAAATATGTCAAAATTGGACATAACAACGGACGGCGTTCACACATTATAAAAAATGTTTATCCATCTACACCAACGGGACTCTATGGAATTCCAAACACCGTCCTAAAAACTGTAGAGGAACGTTGCACCTAGAATCACTACCAACGGCTTTCAAAAATAAAATCAACAGAGAGTGGCCATCATGGCCTACCCGAAGATTGGTTAGGTTCAAACATAGCTCCAGTTTTTAAGAAGGGAGATGTCCACAGCGAAGAAAATTACTTGCCAGTCTCACTGACCTGTGTATCCCGAAAATATTGGAACACCGTAATCTACAAACCGTGACATTCTAAAAAACATGGAAAAGACTGACAAATACTGACAAATTCAAATTATGAATTCAGATAGGCAGGCTACTCCGACACAACAGAAGATCTAATAAAGAACTTTGACAATAGCATTCAACTTGACATGGCCATGTTAGAATTTTTCAAAGGCATTCGATACTGTGCTTCACGACAAACTCCTGGCAAAGCTAAACTAAAAGCTATGGAATAGATGGAAATTTGAATGAATGGTTAGCGTCATTCCTGCAAAAACAGATTATGCCGGTTGTTGTTGAAGGTGAGCATTCAGGACATAACCACGTATATAGACTCTAGTGTACCATAAGGCACAAAACTAGACCCGCGTCTCTTCTCCCTTCCACATGACGACCACACGGAATGTGTAAAATCCCAAGTCCTGCTATTTACGGGGGGTGGGAATGCCCTTTACCGTCAACGGTCAAACGGTCATTTTTCGGCTACCGTTAGCGTCAAATTGGTTAAAATTTTACCGTGATTCGTCAAAATATCGTTATCGTGATTCGTCAGAGGTCTCAAATAATTATCGTTACCGTTATTTTTGGAGAAAATTTAACGTGATTCGTCAAAATCAGTCGTTTTTTTATCGTCTTAAAGAAAGTGTACATTTTATCGTCATGCACCAAAAATTACCGTTAACGTCTTTTGGCAAGATTTTTTTACCGTTATTCGTCAAGAAGGTACCCCAATTACGACCCTCATTTACAGACGACTGTCTTCTTTATCGAGAAATCAACCCCACGAATCCATCAAATTCTCAAATGAAAGCTCTGGAAGTACGGGCATCAATTGGGGAATGAAATTAACTTGCATAATGAGCTTTAAACAAAAATCAACACAATTCTATCAACAACACAACCACATATTAGAGTAAGTTCAAACAAACCCACACCTAGTTCTAAATATATCAATTGACCGATCAAGTGGATCAGCTATACAGGAAACATTACTGGCAAGCAAGGAATGCAACGGTACACTAGGTTTTTACGGAGAAGAATGTTCCCAGGAGTCCAAAAATTATCCTACCTAGCCATGGTAAGATCGGTATTGGAATATGGTACTGTCGTTTGGGACCCATGCATTTACCATCAGGGGAATATAGAAGATAGAAAGCATACAGAAAAGAGGAGCACGTTTCATCCTGCACGATTACAAATCCAGATAAATAGGGTGGGTAACAAATATGCATTCCAAGTTGGAACTACCATGCACCTCTCCAGTAACAGAGAACACATCAGAGGCTGATTATGTTCTACAAAGTGGTTGAGGAATTGGTGCCGGCCATATGAACTGACAAACTACCTCAAAGAAATTAGAAAAAGCGCCAAGTCAAGGCAAAAGACTTTATAGTGATTTCCAATACTCGAACATTGTAGAAAGACAAGAAACCAGAAATAGTAGATCATTTAGATTGAAAGATTGCAAGACAGACATCCGAAAGAACTCTTTTCCGAAAACAATAGTGCAGTGGAACCATATGGAAGAGAACATCGCAATGCCATGCTAAAAGACAGTTGATGGTTTCACAGCTGACCTCCAACAGTTGGACTACCCAACGAGCTCTCCTTCCAGTACACATGCATCCGCGATCGGATAATTCACTGTGTAACATAGTGATTCAGAGTTTTTTTTGTATAACTTGATTACTAGCATAATTATGTTCTTGCTCTTTTCAGCTTCACTAGGTATGCATGTGCTGATAACGATTTTTCATGTGAAAAAAGAATAGAGAAAAATGGGCCACAAAATCAAAGAATAGAATTAAGTGCTATAAACGAGAATATTAACCTGAAAATAAAGCAAAAAATACAGGAAGTACTTTTCTTTTTAGTCCCTCGGATATGGTGTAACATTACTCTGTAAAAACTATTATGGTACACCGTTAACGTAACATCAACATACGTAATAAATACCAAACATTACAAACTATCAATGAAAACAACGACAACATCGGTCCAGATCTCAATAAAAAGTTAAAACAGTATAAGATAAGATAGGATAAGAATTTTATTAATCTAATCAAGAACCCATAAAGGGCATCATTTACAACAATATTAAGCACAATATGATTGGAAAAAAGAAAAACAAGATATAATATAATATAATACTATCATATATTGGACAGGATCAGAGCCTAACACATCATGTGTCTCACATAACTATAACAATAATTGCATAATAATTAAATATTATTTTATATATTTTGTATCCACCTGGATCTTATTTCTAAACACTTAATTATATAATTGCCTAGGCACATAAGAGTTGGTAAATGCTCATTTGTGAACAGCCAGAAATATTTTTTATCCTTGGGTAATTCTTTAAAATTATTACAAAAACTGTTTACTTTATCCCATAATAATTTTCTCTGTTCGTTATATAAAGGACAACTTACTGTGAAATGGGTCTCATCTTCAATAGAATTTGATCCATGTGATAGGCAGTGATGACATAAACGCTGACTTCTCTCTATGTATTTTTAACTATATCTATCTTTCTCAATTTTAAGATCATGTGCACTTATTCTCAATTTACATATAGCTCTTCTTACATTAAAATCTTTAATTGATAAATAAGCCTCCTTTACGAAGTCAGTCTTGAGGTTGAAATAATTTTCTAATTGACTATTACCTTGTGATAAGGTATCAGATCTTTTGACCCCCCAAAATGTTTTAAAACTGTTACAAAGTTTACATTTTACAAATTTAATTAATTTATTGAGCTTTGTATTCAAATTTTGTATATCAAATGATTGAAGGACATATGTCATAGATGAATACCAACAATTAATGTTTCCTGCATCTAAAATTTTATTACAAACATAAGCATCATAAAGTAACCCATCGTCCAATTTGTTAAGCCTGTGTACATATTTTACCATAGATATAATGACAGAAAAATAAAGAGGAAATCTTGCAACCTCTGATAACACTGCCAAATTTGAGGCTTTTTTATTTACACCAAGAATATATTTTAGATACCTGAAATGTGATTTTTCCAAATAATCATTTATGTAAATTAATTCAAATAGATAATCACCTTTTTTCTTGCAAGCAGCAGAGTTAATCTTAAAGGTACCCCAGATTTCACTACAATATAATACAATTGGTTTTATTGTGTGATCATATAAATGGATTGCAGTATCAATACTTGGATTACAAGCTGACATGGATTTTTGTAGTTTAAATTTTGCCTTTAAGGACTTTTTGAATAGCTCTTCTTTCCCCTGCTGAAAAAGACCACTAGAAGTAAAGACTATCCCTAACTATTTATATCTGTTAACACATTCTATAGCCTCATTATCTAAACAAAGTGATTCCTTCAAAAATTTTCCAGGCTTGTTAAAAATTAAAACTTTTGTTTTGGACAAGTTTACATCTAGACACCAATCAATACAATAAGTGTGCAGGTTATCAAGTCGGTTTTGAAGACCCTGTTTAGTGTTTGATAATATAATAATGTCATCGGCGTACATAAGACAATCAATTCTACGCCCATTGATATATAAACAGCATCTGGACTCGACTCAAATCTTGGAGGCAGATCGTTAATGAAAAGCTTAAATAAATTTGGGCTTAGAACATCCCCTTGCCTAACCCCAACTAGCGAGCTGAAAGATGGCGTTAGTACATTACCCATTTTCACCGACATTTCATTTTTTCTGTACATGTCTTTTAAAATAGTATAAAATTTTCCAGATATGTTATTTTCCAATAATTTGTATCTAATACCACAGTGTATGACCCTATCAAAAGCCTTTTTAAAGTCCACAAAGCAAGCATAAACTTTTCCCCCTTTTCTGTTAGTATATTTATCTAATATGGTTTTTAAAACAAACATATGGTCAGATGTTCTGCTCTTTTTTGAGAAACCAACCTGACATGGATGAATTATATTATTTTTATCAAGATGAATGTCAAGTCTTTTATTAAGAATACAGTTAAATAATTTTCCAATGCATGAATTAATTGCTATGCCTCTGTAATTTTCAGGTTTACTAGGACTCCCTGCTTTAAAAATTGGACATATATAAGACAATGACCATTTGCGAGGGTATGTTCCAGAGCAGAATATCAAGTTAAAAAGTTTCTGCAAAACAGGTGCAAATATACTACCCCCTGATTTCAATATCTCGTTTGGGATACCATCTAGTCCTGCAGCTTTATTATTCTTTAGTTTATTTATAGCATCCAAAA